GAGCGCCCGGAACGATCGCCGCACGCAGTGTCCCGGTGCGGAGGCGCGGCGGCGGCGGACGGAGTAAGCCAACGCGGCAGAGCAAACCACAAGCCGCGACCGAGTCGCCTGCGTGCCCTGAGGCCGCAAGTGATGGCTGGTGGACCAACTAATAGTGCCTGGCAAAGGCAGCCAGGGAGTGGACCGCGTGGCCTAATGGATAAGGCGTCTGACTTCGGATCAGAAGATTGAGGGTTCGAGTCCCTTCGTGGTCGGAACGTTTTAATCCCACCCATTACAATCCTACAACAGAATTCCACTTTTGATCCTTGCTTTGAGAGACACCAGAGCCGCCGCACCACTGAGCCAAGGACTCCCCTGGTCCGCGGATACTATCCGGCGTCTCCTCCCTTCCGTGTGATTGGTTTTGTTTCTGATTACAGCCGGACGTGATGTCATCACGCAGCACACGGCGTCACAATTTAAGAGGCATCGGAGCTGACGCTTTTTGCGTGAAGCCCCAGTGGCCTAATGGATAAGGCACTGGCCTCCTAAGCCAGGGATTGTGGGTTCGAGTCCCATCTGGGGTGCGTGGTGTGAGTCTTTTGTGTTTTTTAGATTGTGTGTGTTGTTTTGATTTGTTGTTTTTTTTCGAGACTCGATCTCGTTGTCGAGTCCAGACTTGATCTTCAATCCCCAGATTCTCCTGCTTCGTCTTCCCAAGTCCTGGCCTGCCCAGCCCGTGCCAGCATGCCCAGGAAATGATCCCAGCGTGAACAGAAGGGACAGGGCGGCATCCAGGGGACCCACCCGGGAGACGTTGAGGTCGTGAGCTCCGTGCTGCCCGGCTGGCTCCGGAGAGCGGGGCGCAGGGGCGCCAGCTGGAAGGAAGTGGGAAGGAAACTGGATCTTCCCGCCAGCTCCCACACTGCCCCTGTATTTTACTTCCAACACATGTATCTATTTCTGTTATGTTAGGAAAACAGCTTCGACTCACCCACACTAGATTTAACACTTAAATCTAACCAGGATATACTTTTATGTAACTTAAGGTATCTTCATGGTGCTGTAAATATTTAAACAGACTAATGACTTTTCCAATGACTCAAAATGCTACTGGGATTATCCATTACTTACGAGCATTGTTCTGCTCCACGGATCTCAGTCCTAGGTTTTTGTTGTTGTTGTTTTGTGTTTTGTTTGCCTTTTTGGTATTGTCCCGGGGCTTGAATGCAGAGCCTGGGCACTATCTCTGAGCTCTTTTTGCTCAGGACCAGCACTTGACCACTTATGCCACAGTTCCGTTTCTGGCTTTTTGGTGACTAATTGGAGATAAGAGGTTAAAGGACTTTCCTGCCCAGCGGGTTGTGAACATGTATCCTTAGATCTCAGCCTGCTGTCCAGTCTTTTCTAGTTTTTTTTTTTTTTTTTTTAATAATGTATGACACTACAGTACTCATTTACTTCTCGACTTTTTATCAGTATTTCGATTATTCTTTTTTCTATGATCTAGTATTGGGGCTGGGAAGATGGCTCAGTGGTAGAGTGCTTGCCTTGCATGCATGAGGCCCTGAGTTCCATCCCTCAGCACCACATAAGCAGAAAAAGCCAGAAGTGGCGCTGTGGCTCAAGCTCTAGAGCGCTAGCCTTGACCTGAAGAGCTGAGGGACAGTGTCCAGGCCCAGAGTTCAAGCCCCACAACCGACCAAAAAAAAAGAACATATATGTATGCTGTGTATTGTATACTAAAAGGTTTTAGGATTTTATTTGCGGTATGGTCTTGCTATGGAATCCATCAAAGTGTAGCTCAGGCTGGTCTCATGCTTAAGATACAAACTTGCAACCTAACCTACCTTTCATCTTCTATATCTTTTTTTTCTGGCAAACTTTAGAAAGCTTAATGCATTGCATGTATGAACCTCTGGGTTGGAGCTAGGCATAATATTACATCCCTAACCCTGCTACTCAGGAGGTGCCAGGTGGTCAGGGCATGAAGTACAAGACACTGAGAAATAATTTAAAAAAAAAAAAAAAAAGACTTGGATCAAATTGCAGATTACTTTCCTAAGAAGCAACAAGGCCCTGAATCCAAACCCCAGTACTGTTTAAAAAGCTCTTTCATTCTGCTCATGCCTGGCAAATACCCTACCATTGAACTATATACCCAGACTCTGCAAAGCCATTAATACACTCCCCAAAATGAGTATACCAGTAGTGGCTCACGCCTGTAATGCAAGCTACTTAGAAGACTGAGATTTGAGGATTATTGTTTGAAGACAGTCCAGGCAGGAAAGTCTGTGAGATTCTTACCTTCAGTTAATCACCAAAAGTCAGAAATGAAGATGTGGCTCAAGCAGTAGAGCACCAGCCTTAAGCAAAAAAGCTCAGGGACAGCACCCAAGCCCTGAGTTCAAGTATGCTCTAGTACTTAGTCCACATTGGAATATCTCAAAGGTATTTTCTCCTGGGTAATTGGTACAAATGAAAATCTAAATAAGGCCCATATGCAGTATCTCAATGTTGGATCTCTTCAATCTCTCTGTCTCTGTCTCTGTCTCTCTCTCTTTCTTTTGGAGGAAAGGGAAGTCCTGGTTTGAACTCAGGGCTTTGCACCTGGTAGGCACCTAGCTGCACCTTGAGCCATTTTTGCTATTGTCATTTTTGAGATAGGTTCTTGATTTTTTTGGCCAGATGGAACTGGACTGTGATCCTCCTCTTTCTGCTTCCTGGTGTCGCTGAGATGACAAGCCTGTTCCACTATGGGCCTGTGAGGCAGGTGCTCTACCACTTAAGTCACACCTTCAGGGCAACCCTCCCCCCCCCCCCACACACCTTTTAATGTTAATTTAGGGGCTGAGGATGAAGCTCTGTGGTAGTCTGAGCACTACCTAGCAACTAAAAAATAAAAATAAAAAAATTAACTGAACGCATGTACAATGTAAATAAAACCAACGTAAAGCATCCCCAACTGTTCATCGTGAAACTCAGACCCTCCCAGGGCCCCTCCCAGATGAGCTGTCTCCTGGTGTGACAGCACTAACACAGGAGCCACCATGGTGATCTTTGTTGTTTTGTTTTTGGGTCCAGTCATGGGGCCTGAACTCTGGGCCTGGGTGCTGTCCCTCAGCTCTTCAGCTCAAGGCTAGCGCTCTACCACTTGAGCCACAGCGCCACTTCCGGCTTTTTTCTTTTTGCGTATGTGGTGCTGAGGAATCGAACCCAGGGCCTCATGCATGCAAGGCAAGCGCTCTACCACTGAGCCACCTTCCCAGCACCCCATGGTGATCTTTGATGATCAGTAAGTTGAGGGTTTTTTCCCCCCAAATTTTCAAGGTTTCTGCCTGGCTGTTATCTGAATTCCTAGAGCTTCAGCCAGATGGCTGGGGGACTCTGCTATCCCGAGGCAGGCGTGCATAGGACTTTTGTTCTGTTTCAGACATTAAAAACATAGTCACCACTGAACAGCTCTTGATGGTTCTGGGACTGAAAGCACTTCTCGTGGAATAGATCTTGTCTCCTGACTGCCCTCCATCTTTAGCCAGCACCTCTTCCCCCACCGGAGGGAGGGCCCCACACTCTTGGCTCTCATCAGCTTCTATTCCAGAAGACAGAACAGACTTACCCAAGTCAGCCAGTGCAGATGGCCGTGTTGCAGGAACACGGGTTTCGATCTGTACACGCCACCCTTGTGTATGTGACGTTCCCAACAGGATTTATGTCACATCGTTAGATGGTTGTGCTTACATATCTCCAATTTTCTAGGTTCTCTCATTTGATACTCATTACAATCCAGTTTATACATACAATAACTGAAGTCACTATATGCTGGTGGCTCACGCCTGTCATCCTAGCTACTCAGAAGGCTGAGACCTAAGGATCAAGGTTCAAAGCCAGCTGGGGTAGGAAAGTCGTGAGACTCATCTCCAATTAACCACCAGAAAACCAGAAGTGTCAGTGTGGCTCAAGTGGCAGAGCGATGAGGGACAGCACTGAAGCCCAGAGTTTAAGCCCCATAACCGACCAAAAGAGTTTAAAACCCTTGAGGTCTCTGCTCAAACTGCTCCCAAACTCAGGTTTGAGAGCTCCTCTGCCTCTGCCTCCCAAGTACTGGAAGTCGAGGCTGCAGTGCTGCCGCCTTATTCATGAGTTCTAAAAGCGCAATAATGCAGTAGGAAGTTACTGTTGAGACAGGGCCTTGCTGTTGCCCAGAATGGTCTCAAGCCATCCTCTCTCCCCCCTAGCCTCTAGGAGGAGCAGAGACTACAGGCATGCATCACTCTTTTAGTAGGAATTTAACCAGTTCACTTTAGTAGGAATTAAGGATTTGTAAAATGCCTACTAAAGTGAATTAGTGGAATGAAAACAATTTTCTAGCTGGGCGCCGGTGGCTCACACCTATAATCCTAGCTACTCAGGAGGCTGAGATTGAGGATCACAGTTCAAAATCGGCCCAGGCAGTAGAGTCCATGAGACTCTTATCTCCAATAAACCACTAGAAAACCAGAATTGGCACTGTGACTCAAGCAGTAGAGTGCAAGAACAGCGCCTACGCCCAGAGTTCAAGCCCCATGACTGACAAAAACAAAAAACAAAAAAACAATTTTCTGCTCAGATGTAAATAGCTGTCAACTGTTAACTTTGTCACAATGTTTCCTTGTGCTCTGAAAAGTTGAAGCAGAGGAAAGCCAGTCCCTTCTGCTGGCCTGCAGTTGGGACGGGATGTTATGGCTCACAAAGTGTGGGGGTGGGCACTTCCTTGGATGTAGTAGTTGGAAAGTAAAGCAAGAGTTAAGGGCCTCAGCAGACAAAATTCCTTTTTCCTATCTCAGTGAAATACCTGGTCTCGGGCCCCAGGTCCTTCCTGGACATTCGAGGCTTTGGTCATGCGCTCTTGGGAATGCTGATCCTTAGCCACCAGCTCATCACATACCCTTTGCTCACCCTTCCACTTAACAGACTCCCACCTCCGTGAGACCACGTCAAAGGAGAGGTGTGACCATCTCAACCACAAAGACAGCTCATGAAGACTATGTAATTATGTTTATTTTTCAACATCCAGAGTTTGCCATGTGAGGACCCTCAGAGCTTCCTCCCAGACTTGATTTTATAAATTCTCGATTGGCTGGTGGGGCCAGTAGGGGTACTTCTTCGTGTCCAATTTGGTTTCTGGGAAGACTTCATTCAAGTCCTCTATGGTCATCTGCTCAAAAGGAATCATGTTTCTCAATTTTTCCAGCTAGAAAGAGCAGAAACGTGTTTAGTCAGGGGAAGGCAGGAGATGGAGATGCCAATCAAGAGCGGCAGGCGAAGGCTGCGAGCGGTGAGAGGGGGAGGGTGCCCAGCCCCCACCGCCCCAGTGCCACCTCACCTGTTTCTCATACTCCTGGATCCTGACCCTTGACTGAGACACAAACTCAGCACAGTGTTTCACCTTTAAGAGAAGAGAGAAATGCTGTCAGAAACCAAGTTGTATCCTGCTGCTAAGGCTGCGGCTGGAAGGGGCCGGCCCTTTCCCAAGGCCGCACAGAGCTCCCGCTCTGGCAGGCCAAGCGCTCACAGTCAGGACTGAGTTAGGACAAGCACCCAGCCATCCAGCCACACTTCTCTCTGGTGCAACCACCTAGGTTTCAGCACCAGCCTTCCTGGCTTTCAGGAAAGCTGCTGGGTTACTTGAACACAACTTGGACGAAACTTCTACCTAATGACAACTCCTTATAGTTGCTTTGAACAACTTTATTGAGGTACAACTGACATATAGAAACATGCACATTTAAATGGCACCACTCAACATATATGAAGCTATTACTTTATTCAAAAGAACAAATATAGCTGAGCACCAGTGGCTCACGCCTATCATCCTAGCTACTCAGGAGGCTGAGATCTGAGGATCACAGTTCAAAGCCAGCCAAGGCAGGAAAGTCTGTGAGACTCTTATTTCCAATTAACCACCAGAAAACCAGAAGTGATACAGTGGCTCCGGTGGTAGAACACATGCCTTGAGCAGAAGAGCTGAGGGACAGTGCCCAGGCCCAGAGTTCAAGCCCCATGACCAAAAAAAAAAAAAACAAAAACAAAAAAAAACAAAACCAATATATTTATCATCTCCCCTTCTGTCCACAAGCAACTACTAATATAAACCTCTGTCACTACATATTAAGTGTGTTTTCTACAGATTTGTGAAACAGAATCATATGTACTTTTCTTTTTTTTGGGGGGGGGGGGGGTCCGGTCGTGGGGCCTGAACTCTGGGCCTGGGCGCTGTCCCTCAGCTCTTCAGCTCAAGGCTAGCACTCTACCACTTGAGCCACAGTGCCACTTCTGGCTTTTTTCTTATGTGGTGCTGAGGAATTGAACCCAGGGCCTTGTGCATGCAAGGCAAGCGCTCTACCACTGAGCCACCTTCCCAGCCCCCACTCCCGGTTTTCTGACGATTAACTGGAAATAAAGAGTCCCATGGGGACTTTACTACTGGCTTTGAATCACAATTCCAAATCTCAACCTACTGAGAAGCTAGGATTATAAGCGTGAGCCACTGGCGTCTAGCCAGAGCATGATTATTAAGGAAATTCCAAATACGGCTGGGAAGGGGGCTCAGTGGTAGCGTGCTTGCGTGCGTGAAGGAGGCCCTGGGTTCGATTCCTCAGCACCACATAAGCAGAAAAGGCTGGAAGTGGCGCTGTGGCTTAAGTGGTAGAGTGTTAGGCTTGAGTTGAAGAGCTGAGGGAGTGTCCAGGCCCTGAGTTCAGGCCCCAGGACTGACCAAAAAAGAAAACTCCATAATAAATAAGAGCATCAACAACTTACATCTTCCTTTTCTTCAGCATCCACCAAGGCTGTGTATTTATCTTCGGGTATAGGAATCTTCAGGGCATTAAACTGCAAACAGGAACAGTGGGTTGTCACCAACACACCCAGAAGTGCGAGAGCGCAAAGCTGCTGTTCTGTATAAATCATACTACAATGCATTTTCCATCCAAAGAGGAAACTGGTAGCATGTGTCACAGAAGGAATACTGAGAGAAGGGTCTGCTCGACCCCATCACTAATTAACTAGGATAAACTTTTAACACAGTGAGCTTGTTTCCTCATCTGAAAGCACAGCTACACTTGATGACCAAGAAAACAGCCTCGTAGTACTCCACATTAATCATGCTAACATAATGGGGATAGACATGGTCTGTGGAAGACTAGCAAATGTTATAGCCTAAGTAAATGAACTTTGAATATGGAGCTTAATCTGGAAGACTCAAAGGAAGAGAAGTGAATGAGAAATTACAGCTACAAGGGGCTGAACAAGGAGGAACCTGTGAAAGAGTAGAAAACATGCTAGTCTGTACAGAAGGGAGACAGGTGGGCAGCCAGAAGAAAATCAGGGAGATGAGTTGGTGGATTTCTGACTCAGCAGGGGCAAGGTTATACTGTACAGTCAAATGAACAGACCCTCAGTTCCCTGCACCTATTCACTATTTAAATCTAACACCATTTAAATCTAACCAGGGCTGGTGGCTCACACCTGTAATCCTAGCTACTCAGTGGGCTGAGATCTGAGGATGGTGGTTCAAAGCCAGCCCAGGCAGGAAAGTCTGTGAGACTCTTATCTCCAATAAACCACTAGAAAACTAGAAGTGGCGCTGTGGCTCAGGTGGTAGAGTGCTGACCTTGAGCTGAAGAGTGCAGGGACAGCACCCAAGCCCAGAGTTCAAGCCCCAGGACCGACAAAAAAGAAAGAAAGGAAGAAAGAAAGCAAGCAAAGAAACAAAGCTTAGGGATAGGGCCCAGGCCCTGAGTTCAAGCCCCAGGACCACCACAAAAACAAAATAATAAAATCTATTAGGTCACACCATCCTTCCTAAGACATATAGATGTTAATACCACCATCTTCTCTTGCGGTGCCTATTTGATTTTCTATCTTCTGCTTCCCACCCACTAACCAAATGAGTGTCACAGTTATCTGGTCTCACCTTCTTCTCAAAGTCATCCACCAAGCCGGCCTTGGCCACGTTGGCCTTGTAGTAAGCCCAGTCGATAGCTGGTGGTTTCTCAGGCAGAGCGGCCAACCTGTTCATGTGGAAAGGCAATTAGAACTGTTCCATGCACAGAAGAAAATTCACACAGAAACTTCCCTAGTCCTTATTCTCATGCCTGGGGTCATCACCCTTTTCTAAGGTCACCATGAAAATGCCAGAAAATATGTTTATTTGGAAAATACATGGATTTATTTTTTTGTTAGAAAAATTCCAGAAACTTATGTAATTCCAAAGCATTTTTTTTTTTGGGGGGGGGGCGCGCAGTCCTGGGGCTTGAACTCAGGGCCTGGGCACTGTCCCTGAGCTTCTTTTGCTCAAGGCTAGCACTCTACCACTTGAGCCACAGCACTACTTCCAGCCTTTTCTGTTTATGTGGTACTGAGGAATCGAACCCAGGGCTTCATGCATGCTAGGCAAGCACTCTACCACTAGGCCACCTTCCTAGCCCCCTCAAAGCATTTGTTTCAAGATCAGTATTGGGTTCCCTCTCAGAAACACACTGACCTGGAGCTGAGGATCTCATTCCATGACTTCAAGGAGTTAGCAATAACCTTTTGGTTTGAGGGGATAATTTCCCCAAAAGCTATCCAGTCAATGGCTTTTATAGCAAGTTTGCGCCCAGCCATCTTGGGATCCTAGAAAATAAAACAGGTCAGATCAAACCAGTGTTCTTAGCTCTACACCAGTGGCCCATTCCTGTAATTCTTGCTTCTCAGGAGGCTAAGATCTGGAGAATCACAGCTGAAAGCCATCCTGAGTAGAAAAGTCAAGACTCTCTCCAAAATAAGTAATAGAAACGCCCCCAGCCAGGCCAGATAACATGGCTCAAGTGCTAGCTGAGCAAGGGCAAGGCCCTGAGTTCAGGCTCCAATACCACCAAAATTAACACATTTAAAAAAATTCCCAGGGCTGGGAAGGTGGCTCAGTGGTAGAGCGCTTGCCTGGCATGCATGAGGCCCTGGGTTCAATTCCTCAGCACCATAAAAGCAAAAAGAAAAAAAGCTGGAAGTGGCGCTGTGGCTCAAGTGGTAGAGGGCCTGCCTTGAGCTGAAGAGCTGAGGGACAGTGCCCAGGCCCAGAGTTCAGGCCCCACAACCGGACCCAAAAAAAAAAAAAAAAAATCCCAAAATGGTGTTCTTACATAGAATATTTTAAAGAGCAATTTATCAACTTACAAATTTTTATTTTATTTTTTGGTCGGTCATGGGGCTTGAACCCTGGGCCTGAGCGCTGTCCTTGTGCTCTTCAGCTCAAGGCGAGCACTCTACTGCTTTAGCCACAGCACCACTTCTGGTTTTCTAGTGGTTTATTGGAGATAAGAGTCTCATAGATTTTCTTGCCCAGGCTAGCTGTGAACTGCTAAACTTGCCATTTCTTTTTCTGATTTTTTTTTTTTTTTTGTGAAAATACTGTACAAGGGGTTACAATTACATGGGCAAGATAATGAGTAATTTCTTATCAAGCATTGTAGCCTCCTCCTTTGTTTCCCCTTCCCATCCCATCCTCCCACCACCAAAGTTGTAACGTTTGTTTTCAACATAACGACTTGTACGTCTCACTATTGCAATGGATCCATCTGTATCCCTATTTAAATGATTTGTTTTTCCCTTCCCCTCCACAAATTATACCAACATCAAATACAGTGAAAGCAGGGGTTATACCATGGGGGAGGGACATACAAAGCAACAAAGAAATAATCTTATAAATGTGTTAGAAACAATTGCATGAAAGAAAAAAACATTTGAATACATATCTTAGGGTTCATTTCCCTAACATCAACTTATCTGACCTTTTCTGCTTGACTCAGACATATAATAGTTATTGCAAATAAGGGAAACCATGGGACCTATGTTTCTTTGGGCCTGGCTTACTAAACTTGCAAATTTTTATGAAATATATCAGAACTGGAGGTGTGGCTCAAGTGGTAGAGTGCCTGCCCAGTGAGTGCAAACCCTGGGTTCAATTTCCAGTAACGCCAAGAAAAAAAAAAAAAAAGGAAAGAAATCACTTGGTGGGTCTATCTATCAACTACAGGGATGAGGATTACTAACTCAGAAAAGAAGGGTAGTAACTTCACAAATTCAAGCTGTGTAATCTGGCATCTCTTCCAACAGAGTGCCTTCTCGCAGAGAGTGCTTTCTCAATTTTCCTATTCAACCTTAAAAGCTCAGACCTCTCCTTTTTGCTGTGTCTTTGGAAATGTTACTAAAATAACATTCATGCATTGCATAACAAAATAAGTTAAAGATTTTTCAGTCCAGATTGTGCTTTATTCACTTATTCTCCAGTGCACAAAACTTGACATTAAAATTTTTTTTCTTTTTTTTTGGTAGGTCATGGGGCTTGAACTCTAGGCTTAGGAGCTGTCCCTGCACTTGTCAGCTCAAGGCAAGCGCTCTACCACTTTTGCCACAGCACCACTTCCGGCTTTCTAGTGGTTTATTGGAGATGAGTCTCACAGATTTTCTTGCCCAGGCTGGCTGTGAACCGCGATGCTCAGATCTCAGCCTCCTGAGTAGCTAGGATTACAGGCATGAGCCACTGGCACCTGGCTCCACATTAATTTTATTTTTTTGGGTCCGGTCATGGGGCTTGAACTCTGGGCCTGGGCGCTATGCCACTTTGGGCTTTTTTCTTTTTGCTTATGTGGTGCTGAGGAATCGAACCCAAGGCCTCATGCATGCAAGGCAAGCACTCTACCACTGAACCATCTTCCCAGCCCCTAAACCTAGTTAAAATTTTAATGTCAAGCCATCTTCCCAGCCCCTAAACCTAGTTAAAATTTTAATGTCAAGGGCTGGGAAAGTGGCTCAGTGATAGAGTGCTTGCCTTGCATGCCTGAGGCCCTGGGTTCGATTCCTCAGCACCACATAAGCAGAAAAAGCCAGAAGTGGCGCTGTGGCTCAAGTGGTAGGTAGAGTGCTAGCCTTGAGCTGAAGAGCTGAGGGACAGAGCTCAGGCCCCACTAATGACCCCCCCCAAAAAAAAAAATTAACTATGTTTAAATACAACAAATCATAGGATAAAATTTCAATTACCTGTAAACTGTGGAAAATAGCCATTCAGTGTACTAGAAAGTACCAGGTAAGTGTGTGCACATCAACTTCTACTATGTTTCTAGAAACTTCAGGGGCTCTCTCTGCCCTTGCCCTACTAATTTGTCACACACCTGTATCTCTTATTCAAGCCCCCCTCCCCCTGGCACACACCCGGCATTCACCCATGCCCTGCATTTGATATATAGGTGAACGTAAGATACATGACTGCAGCAATCCTGTTTGTTTGTTTTTTTGGGGGGGGTCCAGTCATGGGGCCTGAACTCTGGGCCTGGGCGCTGTCCCTCAGCTCTTCAGCTCAAGACGAGCGCTCTACCACTTGAGCCACAGCACTACTTCCAGCTTTTTTCTTTTTTCTTATGTGGTGCTGAGGAATCGAACCCAGGGCCTCAGGCATGCAAGACAAGTGCTCTACCACTGCGCCACCTTCCCAGCCCGACTGCAGCAATCTTAAACCAAGACAACACAAGGAAAATAATTAACTTGAACTAAAAAAGATTGGGGACGATATCAGACCTAAAAAGACTTCAAAGTTAAAGATCTCTAATAGGAGAGGTGGAAATCTTCCTAGAGATCTTTAAGAACGTAAAAAATACAAGTGATGATACACCTATTCCTGTCCCTTCTCATGATCATTTTATGTCTCCTGGAAGAGACAGGAGTGAGTAAGGGTGGCTGATTAACTTTTTCTTTTGTGCCAGTACTGAGGGTTAAACTCAGAGCCTGGGCGCTGTCCTTGAGTTCTTCGTTAAATTCTTCATTAAAGGCTAGCGCTCTACCACTTAAGTCACAGCTCCACTTGTGGCTTTTTGGTGGTTAATTGGGAGGTAAGAGTCGCTTACTTTCCTCCTCGGGTTGGCTTTGAACCTCCATCCTCAAATATCAGCCTCCTGAGCAGCTAGATTACAGGCGTGAGCCACTGGTGCAGCTTAACTTTTGAAGATGCCAGAGAATTAAACAACTTCGTACACTTTCTCGAGCACCAGGAAAGAGGAGTAACAAAGTTTCCCCCCTCCTTTTTTTTTTTTGGCCAGTCCTAGGTCTTGAACTCAGGGCCTGGGTGCTGTCAATGAGCTTCTTTTGCTCAAAGCTAGCACTCTACCCCTTGAGCTGCAGAGCCACGTCTGGCTTTTTCAGCTTATGCGGTACTGAGGAATCGAACTCAGGGCTTCATGCATGCTAGGCAAGCGCTCTACCACTGAGCCACATTCTCCCCTCCCCCCCTTGTTTATTGCAGTTTTCACCGCAGAGAACAGGTCAGGAACCTACGAGGTGCTCGACGGAGACTTGAACCCTACCCTTGAGCAGCCTCAACTCGGCCCACGTCGGAACCCAGGCCCCAACCCGAGGAGGTTCGGCCTGTCCAGGGTTCCGCGACGTGACACTACGACCGGGTCACGTCCCTGCCGTCCCTAAAGCCAACTGCACGACCGTCAACGTGCTGGCGGCGGACGGAGCCTGGCACGGTCTGTGGCAACGCCTAAACTCTGGCCCCGGCCCGGCCTCCACTAGGCCCCGCGACCTCGCGGGTCCGCACGGTGAGCCGGGCCAAGCGCAGCAACCCCAGGCCTCTGCCGACCCGCGCGCCGAGAGCCGGGCGTCCTCGGGGTGGACGCCGCAAAGGCCGGCGCAAGGCCTGAGAGATCCGGGGCAGAGCCGCCCCCCAGGGCCCGGACGTGACCCCCGCAACCCACTCACCTTCACCGCCTGGGACGGACCGTCGTCCCCGCTCAGCCAGAAGCGGCGGAAGTAAGTCGCCGGAAGGCCTTCCCTCGCCCAACCGCAGCGCGCAGGAGGCGTGTCTCCTGTCGCATATCAGCCAATAAGAGTGAAGCATGGGGGGGCCTGCCCCGCCCCGGGGGCGGACGCGGCGCCTGCGCCTCCGGGGGCCCCCGCGAGTTGAGGGGCGCTCCCGTCCGCTCCCCCCGCCCCACCCCCGCCGATGGGCCGGCCCGGCTCTCCCTGCCGAGAAATGGGCCGGCCCGGCGGTGCGCGGGCAGCGGCGGCGGCGGCGGCGGCGGTGGCCCAAGATGGCGGAGCTGCAGCTGGACCCGGCGATGGCGGGGCTGGGAGGCGGCGGCGGGAGCGGGGCGGGCGACGGGAGCGGCCCGGGCCGCGGACCCCCCAGCCCTCGCCCGACGGGCCCCACGCCCCGCGGGCACGGCCGCCAGCCCGCGGCCGTCGCGCAGCCCCTGGAGCCGGGGCCGGGGCCCCCCGAGCGGGCCGGGGGCGGCGGCGCGGCCCGCTGGGTCCGGCTGAACGTGGGCGGCACCTACTTCGTGACCACCCGACAGACCCTGGGCCGGGAGCCCAAGTCCTTCCTCTGCCGCCTCTGCTGCCAGGAGGACCCGGAGCTGGACTCGGATAAGGTGCGCCCCGCCCTCGGGCGCGCCCCCGGCCCTGCCGACCCCCTCCTTCCTCCTGGTCGCCACACCGACCCTCAGGCCGCGACCCTTACCCTCTGCCCCCCCCCACCTCTGGCATCGGGAGTCCAGGACCCCTCCCCCCCATCCTCAGGCACGCCCCGGCTTGCCGTCTGACCCCTCCCTGTCCACCCGCGAAGGGCCACCCCGTCCACACCCCTCTCCCAAATTCTCTGCCCCTCGTCCCCAGCCTCTCAGGTCTGCATGAGTGAATTTTTTTCCCCTGGATTTTTCTTCAGCCCCTCACTGCCGGTACCAGATGCATCCAGAACTGGGTCAGGGTGAGCGAAGGCATCTTTGTAGCTTTCTCTCAGATTTCCTCTTGAACCCCTATACAAAGTTGAGTCCAAGCCTGGGTCAGATAACGGCTTCCACGACGTGCTGCTTGTGAAAGAAAGCACCCGGCTTTCCCGAAGTTCTGGTCCCGGGACGTGTATGTGATAGTAGTCAGTGTTTAGGTCTGTATTTGCGATCAAATGCGTCCTTGGGAAAAAGGTGACATTTGCCCGCTACACATATAAGCTGACCTGCCAAGAGCTGGGGAAAATGAGGACCTGGGAATGTTGTTGGGCGAGATACTAAAGGATAAAGAAGTGAAAAGACAAACTATTTCAACGTATGCAGGTTCATCTTTAGGTTATCTTAAGACACAGCCAGGGCTGCATATACATTTATCAATTTCATCTATTCATCTCTTAATAGATGGTATCAAAGCCAGGTGCTGGGGGGCACACACCTGTAATCCTAGCTAGTCAGTGAGCTGAGATCTGCAGATCACCAGTTTGAAGCCAAATGGAACAGGAATGTCTGTGAAATTCTTATCTCCAGTTAACCATCCAAAAGTTGAAAGTGGAGGTGTGGCTCAAGTGGTAGAGGGCTATCCTTGAGCACAAAACCTCAGGAATAGCTCTCAGACCCTAAAGTCCCAGGACACACACACACACACACACACACACACACACGATTCCAGAACCCATTTTGATGAAGGAATTATTTTTGTATACTCTAGATCTTCCTTATGGCTCTATAAGCCAGTTTCTTCATGTTCCTTTTACTGTAAAGATGAGTAGGATTAAAGCTGCTCAGAGCCAAGTCCTGGCAGTACCACGCTTCCTCTGGGCACAGAGCTAGGGTGTGTAAGATTACAGCTGGCAGTGCAGACTCCCACTGGCCTTGAACTCCAGGAGGGTTGCCAATTGAACACAGGTTTTCTTAGAATTAGGAATGAGGTCCAGGGGCAATAGAAAAATATTATCTATCTGAAGCACAGATCTAAAACACACAGCGTGACATTTTCTTCCTTCTCATATCCTGAATCCAGCAACCACAAAAATATTGGTAGTTGTCCAAAGATCATAGAAATTTAAGCCAGTAAATAATCTGGGTATGACTGTGCATCTGATACCTGACCTGAAATGATCTTAAAGCACAAGATGCCAAAAGCTATCTTCTGGGTCTAGAGTTTGCAATAAGCAAATGTGTAATAAAACTTATCTTTGTGTCTATGTGTGTGTGTGGTGGTGATGTATGCATACATGTGTGTGCTTGTGTTCATGCATGTGCCAGTACTGAGGCTTAAATCAGGGCCTGGGCACTCTTCTTAGCCTAGAGTTCTACCACTTGAGCCACACTTCAATTCAGGCTTCTTGGTAGCTAATTAGAGATGAGTTTCACAGATTTTTCCTGCCTGGGCTGATTTCAAACTTTAATCCTCACATCTCAGCCTCCTGGGTAACTAGAATTACAGGCATAAGCCATCGGCATACACTATATAGAGGTTTATTTGCTTTTTTTTTTTTTTTTTTTGTGGTCGTGGGGCTTGAACTCTGGGCCTGGGCGCTGTCCCTCAGCTCTTCAGCTCAAGGCGAGCACTCTACCATTTGAGCTACAGCGCCACTTCCGGTTTTCTGGTGGTTTGTTGGAGATAGGAGTCTCACGGTCTCTCCTGCCCGGGCTGGCTTTGAACCTCGATCCTCAGATCTCAGCCTCCTGAGTAGCTAGGATTACAGGCGTGAGCCACCAGCGCCCGGCTTGTTTTTGTTTTTTTGAGACAAGGTCTCACTACGTAACCCAGACTGGCCACCACCTGACAGACCACTTGTCACCTGACAAACTGGAGAATGAATTAGGTCAACTGACTCGGTATCTTCCTGCCTCAGCCACCCTAAGTGCTGGCATTATAGCCTTATGCCACCATACCAGGCTTAACTATAAAACTTAGTTGGTGGAATGAATTGTTGTCTCTGGGCACTGGCAAAGATGAGAACAGTACTCAGTTTTAAAATGCTCCTGAAAGCTTCACAATGACTCCTTGTGCTTGGTTGGCAGGATGAGACTGGAGCGTATCTGATTGACAGAGACCCCACCTACTTCGGTCCTATCCTAAACTACCTCCGCCACGGGAAACTCATCATTACTAAGGAGTTGGCAGAAGAAGGTAAGAACCATTTGCCCTGGGCCTTTTCAAAATTCACGTCAATTAAGCTATCGCGCAGCCTTGAGTTTAGTTTGAAGTTTTATAGGCTCCTGTGCAGGTGGGTCATACAGGTTTATGAAAGTGGACAGGGAGGGCTGGGAAGGTGGCTCAGTGGTAGAGTGCTTGCCTTGCATGCATGAGGCCCTGGGTTCCATTCCTCAGCACCACATAAACAGAAAAAGCCGGAGGTGTCGCTGTGGCTTAAGGGGTAGAGTGCTTGCCTTAAGCTGAAGAGCTGAGGGACAGCGCCCAGGGCCCAAGTTCAGGTCCATGACCGGCAAAAAAAAAAAAAGAAAGAAAATGGACAGGGAGCTGTCAATTACCTAGGCTTGTCTTAAAAGAATTGTGTTGAGGAAAGATCCACTGGGCCTACTCAGCTTCCGCAGTGAGAAGGAGGATGGGTAGCTTGCTTTGCAGACAGCTTTAGTAGTTTTCATTCAAACCTGCACAGTTGTCAACATCTATCTTCTTTTTTTTTTGGTCAGTTATGGGTCTTGAACTCTGGACCTGGGTGCTGTCCCTCAGCTTTTCAGTTCAAGGATAGCACTCTACCTACCACTTGAACCACAGTGCCACTTCCAGTTTTCTGGTGGTTTATTGGAAATAAGAGTCTCATGGACTGTCCTGCCAGGGCTGGCTTTGAACCACAATCCTCAGATCTCAGCCTCCTGAGTAGCTAGGATTACAGGCGTGAGCCACCAGCGCCCGGCTGTCAACATCTATCTTTACTTATATCTATCTGTTTATGTGCTGGTGGTGAATGGCTATTGCCTGAAGCACTACTCTCTGCCATCTGGTTATTTATGTTTTCAATTTTAGTTTGAATCTGCAACTGAAAAAAAAAAAAAGATAAAGGCTTGGCCTCATTTCTTTTTAAGACTCTGGTCTCATGCTTCCCTGTACATTTTTGCAGCTGACCTAATTCATTCTCCAGGACATTGTCAAGTGTATTACTGGTTTGTAGAGTGTTTAGGCTGTAAGTGGGTCTGGTCCTCTTTCTAAAGGCTTGGTTTGGTGTCCCTGGAGGCCTTCTGTGGAAAATGGGGGCCTTTCCTTGGATCCAGGACACCCTGAGTGATCGCTCTAAGCCAGAAAGCTTGCAGTGGCTGTCCTCATTAGTGAAATAAACAACTCTATTTCAGCTGGTAACAGAGTTGCTCTCTCTCCCTCTCTTGCTCTCACTCTGATTCCTGCTCTCAGTCAGGTAAGGTAGCTCAAGGCTATCATTGTAGCTACTTGGGAGGGGAGGTTTGGAGGATTGCAGTTCAAGCCCAGCCAAACAGAAAACATTCTTGAAACTCTGTCTCAACCAGTGGCTGGGCTTGGTGATGGACATCAGTTATCCCTGCTCCAGGGGCAGGAAGCACGAAGGCTGAGTACGGTGGCACACACCTTCATCTGTATTGACACTCAGAGGCACAAGTAGGAGTTATCAAAGCCCAGGCTAGCCCAAGCATAGGCTAGCCCAGACATAAAGCAAGATAATACTCTGAAAATAAGAAATATGAAAAGGGACTGGAGGTGTGGCTCACTTGGTAACAGTGCCTGCCCAGAAGCTTGAGGCTTAGTTCAAACACTCCAGACTCATACAAAGGTAATAATAATTGCCAGGTGCTGATGGCTCACACCTGTAATCCTAATCAGGAGGCTGAGATCTGAGGATCGAGGTGCAAAACTAGCCCACGCAGGAAAGTTCGTGAGACTCTTATCTCCAGTGAACCACCAGAAAACCAGAAGTGGTGCTGTGGCTCAAGTGGTAGAGCACTAGCCTTGAGCTAAAGAGCTGAGGGACAGTGCCCAGGCCCAGAGTTCAAGCCCCATAACCCACCAAAAACAAAAAATTTAAAAAAACACACACATTTTCCTGCCCAGGCTGGCTTTGAACTGC